TTTTTAAGAAACAATTAAAAACACTTATGTATAGGCAGGCTTTCCCAACAGCTAATCCCTGACGATCTTTTTTCCTTTTATATTCTTTTGATCTTTATTTCTGTTTACTTGTAATGTTTTTATAAAATTTATTGTTGTCAAATTGTAAGCCGCCTAGAGTGGTCAAACATGACCAGATAGGCGGGATAGAAATGAAATGAAATAAATAAATAAATAAATAGGGCTTTTCTTACATCATAGTTTTACCAGAAAAACAAGGAAGAAAGACTGATTTAAGACTAGGGAAATGGCAGGGATTGATTGGTTGGTCGGTCCGTTCATTCATTCATTTGTTCATTCACTCGTTAATTCATTTGTTCATTTTTATCCATTCATCAAAGGGATTCAAGACACTTGAAGTTAAAAATACAGTGGTGCCTCGCACAGCGAGGTTAATCCGTTCCAGATTAACCCTCGCTGTGTGAAAGCATCGTTGAACGGAACGTAAAAACCCACTGGAACGCGTTAAACATAGTTTAATGCGTTCCAATTGGGCTGAATACTCACCATTCAATGATGCTTCTCTATGGCCGGCAGCCATTTTCGCGCCCTCCCCTCCCTTTACGAGAGCGCGAAAACGCTGCGCGTGGCCATTTTGGGTCGTCCGGCGGCCATTTTGTAGCCGCCGAACAGCTGATTGGCGGGTCGCAAAGCGAAGGTCGGTAAGCGAACCGCTTACCGACCTTCGCTCTGCGATTTTTGCCCGATGTGGGCACCGTTTTGCGATCGCCCGTTGTGCGAGGCACCACTATACATGAATTTACAATACAAATGAATTAAACAAAGTAATTTAAAAGGTAACAGGCAATTCACCAAATTCTTACATTGAAACAAACAAATAGGGATAGAATTTTTGGAATTAAAGAACTTCCACTCCCATGGTTCATCAAGACCCCATGGCTGAATTATGGGAGCAAAAGCCTTCAAACCATCAGGAGATACAGCAGCCCTCTACCCTCCCTGCTCTTATCTCCCTCTGCCATTTCTGTCGAATGGGAAGCAAAGAGCCCCACAGCAGTGCATGAGTCTCAAGGATTCCCTGCCACTCACAAGGCCTCCTGGGAGGGTGAGTTCTGATGTAGGCTCCCGCCACACATTCTCTACAAGCAGGGAGGTAAAAGGGCTGTTCTCTCTCCTGCACGTTTAAGATCTTTTACTTCAATAATTTGGCCCAGGGAAGAGTTTCATGCTGAATGACAGGAGCAGACGTTCCTTAATTCCAGTCTCTGCAAACAAAAAACAGAATCATTTTAAATAATTCAAAAAGAGATGAAAATAACTTTGAAAAACTAACTCCCCTTTTACTGTAAAATCCCTTCCTAGGCAGACAACTACTTGTGCTGGTTGTTGTGGGGTTTTCCGGCTATTTGGCCGTGTTCTGAAGGTTGTTCTTCCTAATGTTTCTCCAGTCTCTGTGGCCGGCATCTTCAGAGGACATGAGTAGCACTCTGTGCTCTGGTGCAGTTTGTTTCAGAGTTGAGTATTTATAGGTTTAGCGCGGTGGTGGAGGAATATGAGAGGAAGAAGAAAGATGAGAAAAGACAGGCATTTGAGAAAGTTCGTATCCAAGGTTTATTGAGAGACTTCCCAAACCTGCGAGTGGGCGGACTTTTGCCGGATCCCTCGCCTCACCAATACTCACCTGTGCCTACACCAACTCAAGAGTGGAAAGTAACCGTGGCCCCGTGGAAAGAAGAAGAGCGGCGAGAACAAGGTGGGAGGAGGGAAGAGTTCGAGGAGGGGCCAGATGAGAGAGGGTGGATTCGGCACAAATGTTGTGGGACAATCTGTGCCAAGAGGAGTCCCCCACCCCATCACTGGGGCTACAAGAAACCCTATGGGGCCCATCGCCGTTAACTCCTTGGGACTATGTTCAATGTTTGGAGAATGTTGATGAGGCTTTGTTGCCCAGTTGTAAACCGTTGGAACCGGTTGTTTTAGTCCGCAACTAACAACAACCATTGTCTGCAACATATAGCTGATCCCACAGATATAAATACTCAACTCCCAAACAAACTGCACCAGAGCACAGAGTCCAACTCCTGTCCTCTGAAGATGCCGGTGTGAAGGTGTAGAAAGAGAGAGTGTGCCGTCCGCAGGGCCACATAGACTGGCAAAACGTTCGGAAGAACAATCTTCAGAACATGGCCAAAGAGCCCGAAAAACCCAAAACAACCATTCGATCCGGCCGTGAAAGCCTTCGAAATACAACTACTTGTGCCATATTATAGCCCTTTCCCAATATTTATATATTAAAAAGTGGCAAAACATAAGCAGAGTAGCACAACTGAATAAACAGCAGTCCAAATCAACAATTAAGCACTCACAGCACTGCTTCTGGATGGAGTGATCTGTTGATTTCAATATTTTGAGTGGTCAAAATGACCAGATAGGCTGGGTATTAAATAAATAAATAATAAATAAACAAACAAACAAACAAACAAACAAATATTTTCCATTCATCGCATGAAGAAATCCACCCAATAAATTTTTAGCAAAGAGTGTTTTTTTAAAAAAAATTTAAAAAATAGTTTTTAAATATTTTTTAAAATTCTAAAAGTCTGAAACAAAATTCTCACTCATCCTCGTCAAGGAAGGAGGTCAGCTGGCGGGAAGAGCACTTTGGGTGCTTCCTGCATCTCTTTGCAATGATCCTTCCACCTACCTGATCTGGTTCCACTGCATCGCAAAGAAGAGGCCGCAGGGACTGAGCACTTGTTGCCAGGATCATTCCCGCCCCTGCGGGCAAGACATAGGGTTGGAAAAGCAAGTCACCCCGTTATATCCCTATCATTATAACCCTAACTAACCTCACAGGGCTGTTGAGATAGAAAAAGGGCTATGACCTTTTATGGAGATAATAATATGAGCCGTCAAGTCCGTTCTGACTTACGGTGGCCCTTTTAAGAGTTTTCTGGGTAGACGGTCATCAGAAGTGGTTTCCCCTTCACTTCATCTGGCGGTATTTCTGGGACTGTGCAGCATGCCCAACATCACACAGGCTGGCTCTTCTCCCCAGGAGGTGCAGTGGGGAAATCAAATCCCCAACCTCTGGTTCCACAGCCAGATACTTAAACCACTGAGTTAGTCAGACAGCTTCTCTTAGGTAGACAGGAGCAAGTGCCTCGCACAGCGAGGTTAATCCATTCCGGATTAACCCTCGCTGTGTGAAAGCATCGTTGAACGGGGCAGGAAAAGCCATTGGAACGCATTAAACATGGTTTAATGCGTTCCAATTGGGCCGAATACTCACCGTTCAGCGATGCTTCCCTATGGCCGGCAGCCATTTTCGCGCCCTCCCCTCGCTTTACGAGGGCGCGAAAACGCTGCGCACGGCCATTTTGGGGCTTCCGGCAGCCATTTTGTAGCCGCGGAACAGCTGATCGGCGGGTCGCAAAGCAAAGGTCGGTAAGTGAACCGTTTACCGACCTTCGCTCTGCGATTTTCGCCCTATGCAGGCACCGTTTTGCGATCGCAAAACCGGCCTCGTAGAGCGAATTCATCGCTCTACGAGGCGCCCGTTGTGCGAGGCACCACTGTACCTTGTTTCCCCTAAAATAAGACCTAACCTGAAAATAAGCCCTAGTATGATTTTTCAGGATGCTCGTAATATAAGTCCTACTCCAAAAATAAGCCCTAGTTAAGTGAAAGCCCACCTTCCACCATTGTGCAGCAACCAGAAGAAGATGGCATGACTGTATCTGAATAAATGAAGATGGTTGTACATTAAAAAATCCCCTGGAAATAAGCCCTAATGCGTTTTTTGGAGCAAAAATTAATATAAGACTGTGGCGATCCCCTTTGCGCCCTTTATTTCTTTGGGCTCTGCAAAGGTAAACACGCCGATTTTCGCTGCCACCAGGTATTATCCTAATACCAATTCAAGTCTACACACAAGAGCTGCCCATATAACTTAGGAATCAAGGGGCAGGAGCTGCCCATATAACTTAGGAATCAGGGGGTTTTCAATTAAACATTCTTTTATTAATGAGCAAATAATAAGTAAAATCAATATAGAATTGTTTCAGGTGTGCAAGTATATTAGAACGTATAACTAATCACTTGTATTCAGAACTACGTCATGCTTTAAATCACTACTTCTCCTGTTAAGCTTATATGTTCATTCCTGCTTGTTCCATATGATGTAAACTGTTCAATTCTCTTTACTAAGCCCTCTAATCTATTCCTAAACCCTAGCACTCTCTCAATAACTTCTGGTCCCTAACTCTCTCTATCCCTATCTCATTCCAACTGTCCTTTAACTGTCTCTTCTCGCTCTCTAACTGTCATTCTGACTCCGCCTCTATCCTCTGACTGACACGCAGGAATGACATCATGTCTTATTTTCGGGGAAACATGGAGGTAAAGAAGATAGGAGCGAATTTCAAGACATAGGGCTGTCTTAAGCTTAGTTTGTGCTTTAGACCTTCTCTGCTTCTATGGGGTGAAGCTGCTTCTCTGCTAATTTCACCTTCTGGGTGTGGATCGAAGGACTGGATTCCATGTTTTAAGTCTTCAAGCACTGGTAATTAAAATGTAATGTTTAGCCCTGGAAAAGACTGGTGGAGGGGAGATAGCAATACAAGTAACTCATCCATACTTCAGACAGGATGAGCAGGCTGATATGCAAACCGGCTGCCGGCTTCAATCCTTGCCTTGCATGACGGCATCTCTGTCAACATCCTGCTTGAACCCCCTCCAGAGGAAACTCTGTCTGGAATCTGCTGAAGCCTTCTTAGTCACAGGGAAATCAATCTGCAGATCCTTAGAAAGATCTGAGACCTGGAAAAGCAGAGAGGATTCCATGACATGAACTGGAGAACAGAGAAGGAGTGACAGAGGTAGAAATCTTGGTGGGTAAGTTTTGGATATAAGGGATAAAGATATCTGAAGGGGATATTCTGTCCTACATCCTTATATTCTTATAATCAGAGTGGATAATGTCTGGAGGTGAAGGTGCCTTCTCCTTGAGAACATCATCATAGGCATCCTTCAATCTCGAGAGACTATGGTAACATGCTCTGTATCGAGAAGTGTCCTCTCCAGAGTATGAAGCCTGGGTAAAGTAGTATGAAGGATAGGCTGTTACCCAAGCAGCAAATCCCCCCTCTCCACATTGCTGAAATGGTCCAGTGGAAAGGCAAGAGCCAATACAACTGGTTCCAGCAATGTCGCAGGAGTTGGCAGAACGACACGAAATGCCTTCAGGCCTCCAGCCCCGGATTTTGCCTCTAGGTTAACTCCTGAAGCCTTTTTCATGAGTGGATATAGCCACAAGCCAGTGGAGGTTTGAAATTGGAGTTTTCCTTCTCCTAGATGGGCTGCCTTCCATGGCTGACAAGCCCCACCTACCCGGCCTACTCTTTAATAGTGCAGAAGTAGGATCCGGCCCTTAAAACCTTCCTGCCTCTCAGGTGGATGCAATGGTAATTGGCTTTCCTATTTGCCATATTAGGGTCAGAGATAGAGTCAGAGAATTTGAGGTAAGGATTTAGGTTTAAGAATTATGCCACTCTTTGATCAATCTCAAACCAACTTTAAAAGTAACCAAAAAAATCCTACAAAAAAGTACAACAGGACCACTGTATGTGTGGAGGATTAGTTCCAAGCTCCCTATCCTGTGGATGCTGAAAAACACAGATTATAGCTAACACTATTTTAATAGTAAATGCTAAACACCACATTGAGTGGTTTTAAAGAATTAGCAATTTAGTGGTTTGGAAGTGGCAACAACCATTTTCTTTAACAAAGTATACAAGGAGCATGCACCTTGTTCTAAAGTGCTTCCCAGAAGCTTTGGTGGCTGTGAGTCTTCTTTTAAACAAGATGTGTACCTCTTGTGCTCCTTGCCTTTAAAGGCTAGTTGCACGACATTTCAGCAGAACACCAATAAATTTAGCAGCAGCTGTAAGGATGGCAACAGTAAGAGATGTAGGAGCTGAAAAAAGCATATAGGGACCACGTGCCACCATCACTGCCACAGAAGGCTCAAGATGAAATGCCCTCACCTTCTCTTCTTCCTCCTTCGTGACCTCTGCCTGACTCAGGAGGAAGCCTTCTGCCAGGGCCACCACTTGGGAACTGGTCTTTGCTCCACATTCTCTCACCCAGGTCAACATCTCAGGTGGGAGGATACTGAGAAACTGCTCCAGGATCACCAGGTCCAGGATCTGAGCCTTTGTATGTTGATCGGGTTTCAGCCACTGACAGCAAAGATGATGAAGCTGACTGCAAGCCTCTCGGGGCCCCTCAGCCTCCTGGTAAGAGAAGTATCTAAAGTGCCGGAGCTGCAGATCCGAGCTGACAATGTCCTCATTCAAGATCTTCTGTGCCATTCTCTTGCAGACCTCCCCACTGCTCTCAGTCCTGATAGAACAAGGACCAATTCCGGCTTCAGGGCCAGGTGAGTCTTGCTTCCTCACCTTTGATCCATGTTCCAACAATGACTCCAAAGGAATCAAAGGAACCGTTCCATCTTCTCCCCTAGTGCAAAGAGACACGGCTACTTAAACTCTGCAACACTAAGACACCGTACTGTTAATTTTTATTGTGCTGTATAGATGTGAAGGAGCGGTAGACCCCGAAGAGGGAAAACAGGGTGAACCGTCCCCTCAGCTAGAGACGTATGAGCGAGAAAGAGATATAGAAGTAGGGAAGACAATAGAAAATGAGGAGTTGAATGTGAAGGAAGGGAAAAGAAGGGAATCAAAGGGAAAAGAGAAGATTGAGAGAGAGAGAGATGGTTAGCAGGTACAAGACATCTGAATCAATTTGAAAAATATCTGTCATATCCCATGAAAATGGAACTCCAGAAAGCCTTTACTAAATGGAATCAATGATGAAATTGGGGAGATTCCATGGTATACCTATTCAAGACAGATGACGTATCTGTGGGACACTAGCTGTGGGATATCTAATTTATTATATTCTCATCTGTCAGTTACATATGGACATCAGAGAATGCAGCTCTGGGGTGTGAAAGATAAACTGGATTTCCTGCTTCAAGGGACAAACCAATACATGACCCAAAATCTCACCCTATTTGTGATAAAGGCAGCTAGATGCAGGGAGAAATGTAAGCAATCTGGACTAAAACTAGGACTGAGCTCCAAAAATATAAGAGCATGAACATAATCTGATAAACTCAATAATATTAGCAAATACTGCCTTAAAGATACCTAACATGCATGTATATTTATTATCTCTCTCGCCCTAGTTTTAGTTATTTTACGTAAGTATGACTGACTGTAACTGTTGTATCTTGCTGTGGTCTTTGGTGCAAGAAATATTATTAGTTTTAGTTATTTTGCATAAGTATGACTGACTATGACTGTTGTATCTTACTGTGGTCTTTGGTGCAAGAAATATTATTATATAGATATAGAGATGCATGAAACTTCCTATTTTGAAGAGCCCAAAATTTATTTTAATTTATGAAAAATTTATTTCACATTCAGTGATTAAAAAATAACATTCATGACATTTCTCCTTGATTTCCTCATGTACTCTGCTTGAGGAGATGGAGGTTCTATTCCACTCTCTGTTAAGGGACTGAGTGCCTCTTTATGAGGATATTTCTACAACTCAGGATCAGACATTTCACATCTGGCAGAAAATACCCCCTGCCTCATCCCAGCTGCATTTCGCTTTGGCTGTTCAAGGTTTTTTATATTTCACATCTGGCAGAAAATACTTCATCCTGCCTCATCCCATCTGCATTTTGCTTTGGCTGTTCAAGTTTTTTTTGGGGGGGGTGGGGGTGGGCTGCATTGAACTAGAAGCAGGAACCATCATTCCCAGCAGTAAAAAGGTAATCTGTGTGCAAAACATAGCATACAGAAAACTGGATTAGATTTAGAGAAAGGATAAATTAAAATTAATGGGAAAGAATTAATAATTTCAAGACATGCAGATGAAATCATGTTCACTGGCAGAGAGCAACAGCAACATGAAGTGACTACTCATGAGGTTAAAAGAAGAAAGTGCAAAAGATAAATTAGCATTCAACATTTATAAAATATTGGTAATGAAGACATGGATGATGCTGTAAGAATTTTCAGTACCTTCATTCAGTCATCCATCCAAATATAGGGACTGTAGCCAACTCAGAAGACGGAGACTTGGAATGGCATAAATGAAGGGATTAGAACAAATCTTCAAGTGTAAGGATGTGTTACTGGAGACCCGCAGCAAGATACTAGGGAATTCCCAATTGCATTCAGATGTGAAAGCTAGAGAGTGATGCTGTAAGAATTTTCAGTACCTTCATTCAGTCATCCATCCAAATATAGGGACTGTAGCCAACTCAGAAGACGGAGACTTGGAATGGCATAAATGAAGGGATTAGAACAAATCTTCAAGTGTAAGGATGTGTTACTGGAGACCCGCAGCAAGATACTAGGGAATTCCCAATTGCATTCAGATGTGAAAGCTAGAGAGTGAAAGAAATGGAGCATCAAGATACTAGGGAATTCCCAACTGCATTCAGATGTGAAAGCTAGAGAGTGAAAGAAATGGAGGGGGAGAAAAACCCCAGATCCTTTTAAATGTGGTGTTGGGGAAAAGCTTTACAGATACCACAGACCATCCGAAAGACAAGTAAGTGGGAGCGAGACCAAATAAAGCCTGAACTGTTACAAGATGATAAAATGACCATAATCTGAAGTTGTCATACTTTAGACATACAGTGAGAAGAGAAGCTGGAAAAGGCTAGGAAATGAGGAAGACTGAACTTGAGATGGATTAACTCAATAGAGGGAACCACAGCCTTTATTTTACAAGACTGCTGCAACAGGGATTTTGATAACAGGAGTTAGGAGGAAACCACAGCCTTTATTTTACAAGACTGCAACAGGGATTTTGATAACAGGAGTTAGGTTTTTGGAGGTTGGGAAGAGCACTCATTCATATCCCCCCCTCCCCAAAAGTGGCAGCAATTTGACAGCCCATAACACCGCCACCAAATATCTGCTGCCTGAGGGGGGGAGGGTCCCTCTTTCCCTCCGCTTGGCTGGGCTTGCAATTTGGGTTCCGCCTGCTCTCGCTCTGCCCCCTCCCCAGGTCTTCTTCGCCTCCCCTCCAGCTCAGCTGGGACAGACTCACCAACATCACCCCCCCAGGCACAACTGGGGAGGGGGATCCCCAGATCCCGGCAGCCCCACTTTTCTCCGATGAAAGAACAAAAAAAGAGAGAGGGGGGAGGAAGGGACTTTTTTTGACTGCACACCCCCACCTGGCGCTCTTCCTCTCTAGGAACCCAACTCTGTGGCTTTAACCCTTGCTGAGAAAGTGAAGCAATTTTCTAGCTCCCCCAAAATAATGCAATTCACTATTTTGTGGGATTTGTTGCTTCCTTCTAGGTTTCAGGGGAAACCTCCCTGCCCTCAAAATCTCTGGCTTATTTCCCCCTTTTCTCCCATCTTTTTTTCTTCCCAGGTCTTCCTTCTCCCAGTCAACCAGCGTCCGCTGCTCCCACCCAGCTCCCTTCTTCACCATTTGCAGGATCCTTGGCTTGTTGCTGTTTTTATTTTTTATTTTTAAGAAAACAACTTGGAAGTGTGCCTTTTCACACCCATGCAGGCAAGTGGTTCTTCTCTCTCTCTTTTAAGGGAGAGGTAGCTCTGTGGCTTCCCACCTCAGATGGTGTGCAGGAAGCCAAGGGACACAAAGACAGACCACAGACTGGTCCAAAGTGCTGCCTGAGGATCTCTGCATCTTCGTGTTTTTTTTTTCCCCTTAGACTGGAGTGGCAGGAGAAGGATGCTTGGAGCCAAGAGGTGTTGGGAAGAAAAATTGTCCCTGATCCACCTGCCTACATTTTGTTCCATCTCTTCTGCATTGAATCCTACGCAACTCAACGACTAAAGAACAACAACAATGTTACTACTAATAATAATAATCTTAGAACTGCAGAGCTGGAAGGGACCCTCTGGATCATCTAGTCCAGCCCCTGTCAAGAAGACAGATGTAGGACTTCCCACTGAGCGACTGGGAAGTCTTGAATTCATTCATCAGCCTAGGCACTTGTCTGTTGTTACTGCTGTCTATATCATCATCATTATCATCTTAGAATTGCAGGATGTAGGACTTCCCACTGAGTGACTGGGAAGTCTTGAATTCCTTCATCAGCCTAGGCACTTGTCTGTTGTTACTGCTGTTTATATCATCATCATCATCTTAGAACTGCAGAGCTGGAAGGGACCCTCTGGATCATCAGTCCAGCCCCTATGAAGGAATTTCCAGTGGGTGGAACTGAACTCGCAAACTCTGGCTCAGCACCCAGTTGCCTAAACCATTGAGCTGTCCAGCAGTTCCTTATCCTAATTCCCTCCTATCTTCCATAGGTTTGACAAAGTACAGTAGAGAGCAGGTCCCTGCCCCACTAGGGTTTACAGATAAAATGGGACAGACTGGCCAGAGACCATGACTGGAACTATTTCAGGATCTGGGGAAGAGGGAGACATAATATTTGAGGTCACCCACATCCTCCTTCCCTCCTGATTCACCGCATTTCGAAGAGAAGTGGATCAAGGAGAAGATGAGGGTTCAGTCCTCCTTCCTGGGAGAGCTAGATCTCTTATGGGAATTAAGATTGTCCACTTCTGTGGTCCCTGCCTTCACTATGACCTGGCACCTGTCTACAGAAGGGTTTGGAAATAAATGTCCAGCTGTGGACAACAGGTAACCAGATGTGTCAAGGGGAACCACCCCGAAATATGGAAGCAATAAACTCTCTCCACCCTGTTCCACCAGCCATCCCTGAGCGGTGCGGACAAATACAATTAAGGGCCATTAATCTCCCATTTTCCTACAGAAATAATCTAAATAGATTGAGAGGTTCTCTTCCCTCTTTTTTTCAGAAAAGAGGCTTGGAAGTTCTTTATTTAAAATATTTATCTCCCGCCTTTCACCCCAAAAGGACCTGAAGTGCCTAACCTTCCTTTCTCCTCTTCTCACCCAGTTCCCTAGATTTCCCTCAATAATAAAGAGAAGGGGAAGCATCCGATTTAACAATGTGTCTGAAATATCCCGTATTAAAATAATTTGAGGAGATCCATTTGTCTCAAGTGGGCCAAGCCTCTTTCCCCCTCAGAAACAGGACTGGGGGGCTGCCACTCCTATTAAGGCAATCCAAGGCAATTCCTGCCTTTTGGGGGGGGGGAGGGTGAAAGAGTTTTCTACAGTCTTTCCCTCAGAAACAAGAAAGGGACTTCCCTTCCCTTTCTCCCTCTCTCTCTCCTGTTGATAAAGCTGGAGGACCAGCCATTTTTTATCTTGAGGGAACTGCTAAATGAAGAGGCTGAGAGGAGTTGCCAAGGGCAACCGAAGAAATCGCTCTTAGCCTCTATAGAGGATTGCAACACAAAAGAATGCTATTCTGCAACCCCAAAACCTTGTTTTTTGCCAGCAATTTTAATTGATGACCTTAACACAGACACACACATTACAAGTCAAGTGAATATCACAGAAATTTGCCACAAGTGACACACCATTATCTTATCTGCTGGAGAAAAAATGCAGAAGACAGTGAGGGCAAGTCACAGAAATTGGGGTGGGGGGTTTCCTTCAGAAATATGTATAGAACATATTTTATTATAATTAGAAAATATTTCAGCTTAAATCCATTGCAGTATTGGCTTTCTTTGCCATCTTTCACGCATACATACACAACCCCAAGCGATAACCGAATGTTGCATCTCCGTCTCTGACCCTCATTCTCCCTGAGCTTCTGTTTTGTTTCACTGCTATGGGTCATTTCAAAGTAAGGCATGGTATTTACAGTGGACTTCACTTTCATTCTTTTTTGGACTACGCCATCCAGAATCATTCAGCCAGATACTGATCACATCTGCTGGGAACGGACTAGAGCGCACCGACACACACACGACAGGGGGGCTCAAAATGGTGCAGACAGGGTGCTCTGGGGGTGAACTGGTCTGCTCTTGGGATCATGGCATCTGATCACTGAGGAAAAAAGGGTGAACCAACCCAGTCCTGCAGCGGACCAAACAGACAAATGCCCATCTGATCAAGCCCTAAAATTAAAATTACCTATTAAAATAGAAAGGGCCATAGGACAATGTGTTCCAAAGATGTATCTATGATCTTCGCACTGCTCCTGAGCACTTTCGTAACTATGATTGAAGAATACACGTACAGTATTTACCATAGGAAAATTTGTTCATCTATATTTTAAAAGTCATAACACAGGGCAATAAATGGTTTGTTTTGTAGCTTTCTGTTTTAATCACCATGGCTATCAAGAAAACCTGTTTACAACAATTCTCAAGGACTGAAAATATGAGCAACTATGGGCCTTTCCAGGAAAACTTTAAAATACGTACCAAAATACTTAGGAAATGCCTGAAATGAGTCGTTCAGCTTTTTGTAAGACCAAACAAGCACTCCAGAAAGCACATTTTAAAATAGCCAACTATCTATCAGCCATGGGCTGATAGATTTCACTCTTATTTAATCGTCATCATCTTAGAACTGCAAAGTTGGAAGGGACCCTATGGATCATCAAGTCCAGCCCATCAAGGAGAAACAGTGGGGAATCAAAATCCCAAACTCCGGCTCCACAGCCTGATACCTAGACCACTGAGCTATCCATTATTATCACCATTAATTAGGAAAATAATGGAGTCATGACTATAAAGTGTACTGTAATATGGAAAAGAGAAACAAAAATAATGAAAAGCTTATAGGTTAATACACATAGCTTTTTTATATATAAAAATATCCAGATGAGATCTATAGAGAAGTAAGATCTTCAAACCAGAGGAACAGATGGCAAGTGTTCCTCCTTTTTACCAGCAGGTATAAAATTCTTTCTTACAATCAGGGTGGATAGGATCTGCTTGAACTATCAATAAGTTAGCACCCTTTCATAGGAGTATAATTTAAGAAGAGATGAGGCTCATTTGTCTACAAGATAATTCAAATTCATGGTTGTTGTGGGTTTTTCGGGCTCTTTGGCTGTGTTCTGAAGGTTATTTTTCCTAACGTTTCGCCAGTCTCTGTCGCCAGCATCTTCAGAGGACAGCATCTGGCGAAACATCAGGAAGAACAACCTTCAGAACACGGCCAAAGAGCCCAAAAAACCCACAACAACCATTAGATCCCGGCCATGAAAGCCTTCGTGAATACAAATTCTAATTCACATACACCATCTGGCCAGATAGAAGCCAATTATGGATATGTACACATCAGATGTCCCAGTGAGGCATAACAAAGGGGTTGCATAGAAAACCAATATAATTTTTCCTAAATAACCTTCAATGTCCCCCAGTGGCAAAAAGGGACCTTTTTTTGACTCAGCTGTAACTTGGAAAGACTGAAAGTTTGAAATTTTTTAACGACGGTTTAGCAGCAATGGTGTCACACTCATAGCATTTATATGGTTTCTCCTCTTCTTGGACAAAACAATGACTCATAACATGTGAATTGTAAACAAAATGTTTTCTGTACTACAGGTATATGTACATTTTCTCTTCTGTGTCTTCCTGGACAAAACGATGAGTCATAACAGGTAAATTGTAAACAAAATGCTTTCTGCATTACAGGTATATGTACATTTTCTCTTCTGTGAGAACTGTCCTGTGCTTCAAAATCTGTGACCTGACAGCAGAGCAAGCAGCTTATATACCACCCCATAGCGCTTAAAGCACTCTCTGGGTGTCTGGAATTGTTCCTTATTAGGTTGAAACGTTTCACTACTCATCAACATAGCTTCTTCCTGATTGAGAATCTTCACAGATACTCTCTGAGTGGTTTACAATATATTTACACATTGCTCTCCACCTCCTGTGAACTGGGTACTCAATTTACCGACCTCGGAAAGATGTAAGGCTGAGCGAAACTTGAGCCGGCTACCTGGCAATGAAATCTGGGTTGTGAGTAGTTTGGGCTGCAATACAGTAGTCTAACCACTGCACCATGAGAGCAAACTAAATCCTACACTCTTGGCGTTTGCATGGTTGTCCTCCTGTATAGACTGTCTGATGATTCCAAAGATGTAAATTGTAAATAAACAAATTCTAAATCTCCTGATACATTTATGCCCTCTCTCCCCTGTGGACCCTCTGATGAGTTACAAGGTATGAATTGCGAGCAAAACATCTCCCACACTTCTGGCACTTGTATGGTTTCTCCCCTGTGTGGGCTCTCCGATGAGTCACAAGATGTGAGCTACGAGCAAAACACATCCCACATTCCTGGCATTTATAGGGTTTCTCTCCTGTGTGCACTTTTTTGTGGTTGAAAAGGGTTGAATTCCGGGCAAAACATTTCCCGCATTCCTGACATTTGTATGGTTTCTCTCCTGTGTGGACTCTCTTGTGTATCACAAGGACTGAACTGCAAGAATAACTTTTGCCACAGATCTGGCATTTGTACGGTTTCTCACCAGTGTGGATTCTCTGATGAGTCACAACTTGTGAATTATTGGCAAAACATTTCCCGCATTCCTGACATTTGTATGGTTTCTCGCCTGTATGGACTCTCTTGTGTATCAAAAGGACTGAACTGCAAGAATAACTTTTACCACAGATCTGGCATTTGTATGGTTTCTCTCCGGTGTGAACTCTCCTATGCTTCACAAGCTGTGAACTGAGAGCAAAGCATTTCCCACACTCCTGGCATTTATATGATCTCTCCCCTGTGTGAACTATATGGTGACTCAGAAGGTGTGAACTGTAAGTAAAACATTTCCCACACTCCTGGCACTGATACGGTTTCATTCCTTTGTGAACCCTCTGATGAGCCACAAGGTGGGAACTGCAAATAAAACTCTTCCCACATTCGTGGCATTTGTATGGTTTTTCTCCTGTGTGGACTCTACGATGAATCACAAGGTATGAACTGTGAGCAAAACCTTTCCCACACTCCTGGCACTTGTATGGTTTTTCTCCTGTGTGGACTCTCTGGTGTGTCAAAAGTCCTGAAGTGCAAGAGTAACTTTTACCACAGATCTGGCATTTGTATGGTTTCTCTCTTGTGTGGATTCTCTGATGAGTAACTACTTGTGAATTTTTGGCAAAATGTTTCCCACACTCCTGGCATTTGTATGCTTTCTCTCCAGTATGGACTCTACAGTGTTTTACAAGCTGTGAACTGAGAGCAAAGCATTTCCCACAGTCCTGGCATTTATATGATTTTTCTCCTATGTGGATTATTCGATGACTTGCAAGGTGCGAACTGTAAGTAAAACATTTCCCACACTCTTGGCATTTGTATGGCTTCTCTCCCTTGTGAATTCTCTGATGAGCCACAAGGTGGGAGCTGCAAAGAAAACATTTTCCACATTCATGGCATTTGTATGGTTTCTCTCCTGTGTGGACTCTGCGATGAATTACAAGGCAAGAACTGTGAGCGAAACATATCCCACACTCCTGGCATTTATATGGTTTTTCTCCGGTGTGTATTCTATTATGTATCAAAAGGGATGAATTCCGGGCAAAACATTTCCCACATTCCTCACATTTATAGGGTTTCTCTCCTGTGTGGACTCTTTCATGCATCAGAAGGTGTGAACTGGAAGTAAAGAATTTCTCACAGGTCTGGCATGTGTATGGTTCCTCTCCTGTATGGTGGACTCTCTGATGGTTCACAAGCACAGATTTGTGAAAAAAATGTTTCCCACACTCCTGGCATTTGTGTGGTTTATTCACAAGCACAGATTTTTGAAAAAAATATTTCCCACACTCCTGGCATTTGTGTGGTTTCTCTCCCATGTGGACTTTCTCATGAATGGCAAGGTCCGACTTTTGAGCAAAGCATTTCTCACACTTTCGACATTTGAACGGTTTCTCCCCTGTGTGGAGCCTCATGTGTTTCACAAGCTGCGAATTCGGAGCAAAGAATTTCCCACACTCTTTGCATTTGCATGGTTTCTCTCCTGTGTGGACTCTTCTGTGGAGCAGAAGGTTTGAATGCCTGACAAAACATTTCCCACACTCCTGACATTTGTATGGTTTCTCTCCTGTATAATTCTCTCTGGAATTGCTGTCCTCTTCTGCGTGGGTCCCCTGTTGCCTGGCAAGATCCAGTTTGTCCTGAAAACACTTTCCGCAGTTGGCACCTGCTTTTGTTTTCGTCCAGTTATCTGTTGGGAAGAAGAAATATTGGTGCTGTTTATCAGTACAGCGACAGAGAGCTTCCTGTTTACAAAACAACAGGCTGAATAATCAGAAGTATAAGGTCCAAATAGCATTGCCTTCCATATACAGTGGAGCCTCGCTTGATGATGTTAATTCGTTCCAGCGAAATCGCTGTAGAGCAAAAATGTCGTCAAACGAAATTAAGAAACCCATTGAAACGCATTGAAAACCGTTCAATGCGTTCCAATGGGCTGAATACCTGCTCCTCCGGCGAAGATCCTCCATACGGCAGCCATTTTTGGTGCCAGTAAAGCGAGGAATCCGTCCTAGAAAATAGCAGGGGGCCATTTTCTTCAGCCGGCAGCCATTTTGAAACCCGACAATCAGCTGTTTGCTGATCGTCATAAAGTGAAAATCGGTTCCCGAAGCAGGGAACCAATCATTGCACAGCGAAAAAAAACCCTTTTAAAACATCGTTTTGCGATCACAAAAGCGATAGCAAAAATGTCAACGTAAAGCGCATTCGTCGTAAAGCAGAGTAATTGTCCAGTGGGGCATGACTGTAATAGTTTGCATTCCTGGCCTCTACAGGGAAAAATTAGAAGAGAACATGTTCCCCAACCCTGTGTTAAGGATCTCTCAAGAGCCTTTTTGGACTGCAATACTGCTCTGACTGTTATCATTGTTAGCACAGTAGGTCTATGATATTTGCAGGGGACTGGTTCCAAGCCCCCCTTCCACGGATGCTGAAAAACAAAGAGGTAGCAAATGCCAGAGATTGTATGATCTCTGGTTCCTTCTAGTAGCCAGCTCCAGTAAATACACATTGGAAATACATAAAAAATATGTATTTCTTTTTTGTTGTTGTTGTTTAATATTTTGAGGCAGCGGATAAGTGAATCCGTGGATACCAATCCCACAGATAGGGGGTCCTACTGTATAACTCCATTGCTAGAGAGAGATCATCAGAGAGGGGAATGGGGAGCCTTACCAAAAGAGGCCACCATCTTGTAGTTCTCTTCCATGACTTCCCTGTGCAGGGTTTTCTGGTCGGGATCCAGCAGCGCCCACTCCTCCTGGTCGAAACCCACGGCCACCTCTTCAAAAGTCACTGGATTCTGGATGAAAAAAAGAATACTGCTCTCTAGCTTAAGCAAGAACAGAGGCTCATATCACATGAGTCAATTTTCCTGGTTAGAATTCACAGACTTTTAATGTGGGATTCAGTTACCAGCGCCTTGCAGTCAGAGGCACTCAACAAAAAGCTAGGGGCTGTGCATGCTGATCCCTCAAGCTCAGAAGGGCACCCCAGGTACCCCCAAAATCTTTTTCTGCTCTCTTGTTGACATTGTTTTTTTTTTATTTGTGTGCTGGGCCTAAGGATGCTGGGGGAACCTCAAAACAGGACAAAACTGCCCCACATACATAGTGTAGGGCACATGGATACTTTTCAACCTTTAAAAAAAAACATTAAATTTTTCTTTTTGGGGGAATGGGGAAGTGGTAGGGTGGCCCAGAAGCAGCGTATCTCCCAGGAGTACTTGTTGTGAGGAAACAAGCCAAGTGAGGGGCTACTGCCCTCCTGTCCACTTTGTGGGCTTCTGACAGGCATCTGTGTGTTCACTGTAGGAAGCAGGATATTGAACTACATGGACTGCTTCTCGTTTTCTTTGTGGTGTTGTTATGTGCCACAACGAGGATCAGGCATGAAGGGTGGAAAAATCATTTCCATGTCCTCCAAACCTGATTTCCCCCCTGCCACACACACACTTTTTAACTTCAGAACCTTTTCATCTGAATAGGAACAATGCACAGATCTTCAAAAATGTTCCTAAACAAAACAATTTCCCAGATTTTGCAACACGTGCTGCCAATCCCAGCATGCAGAGAACCACATTATACCTTCTTGCTGTGTGGAAATTGCAGAGGAGGCACCTTTCAGGAAAAAAAATGCAACCCTAAGGATGTGACAAGACTGTTGAATTCAATTGGGAGCTGGTTCAGGGTTTTATAAATCCAGTTAAAATCATGTCGTTTTTATTCCAGCATGGGTTACCCACAGTGGTGGTGGCAGCAACATCAAGAGCTGAATTTGGCCTATGAGGTCCAAGAAAGGATGAACATCTGGGGGGAGTGAAGTTCTTCCCTTGACTAGAAAGTATGCTTGTGAGCTTCTACTTGTTGTTAATAAATATCCTGCCTGCCCCACCCACTCCAACGGCCTCACCATTGCCCCTCCTCATTGGCTACTATGCTCTCCTGTCACTGTGGCAGATCGGGTGGGCTTCCCTGGTCTTTCCCTGCCAGAAAACACAGCCGGGGATGTGTGGCAGCATCCCCAAACTTCCTAAACCTAAAACTCAACAAAGCCTGTCTCCCAGCACTGAAAAATACAGCCTGCCAAAGGTCAACAAACTCTACCCAGCCACAAGGACCAGTGATGACTGCACACGAAAGACCAGCTAACGACACCCATCAATCACAGTGACAGATTATCTCTCCCCTTTATCACAACAATACACCCACAACAAAAAACACGCTGATCACCATAATCACCCAATCTCCTGAAAAGGACAAAAGCTGATCCCACAGCTATAAATATTCAACTACCAAACAAACTGCACCAGAGCACAGAGTGCTACTCCTATCCTCTGAAGAAGCCGGCCACAGAGACTGGAGAAATGTTAGGAAGAACCACCTTCAGAACATGGCCAAACAGCCTGAAAAACCTACAACAACCAACGTGCTTTTCCACTTTGAAAAAAGTGCATGCTTAGCTGTACAACAGGTAGATAAATGTTTTAATCAATTTCAAGCATGCTAAACTTGATGCACGATCAGGAGTATTACAACCTGTAACCAAACCCTAAGTTAGAGTAACATAGTGGAATACAAAGGGATTTGACCTCAGACTTAAAAGTTAAGTGCTCAAAGCCCTAGGCCTGGATGGACTGTAGTGTCAATCTGAATGGATAAATATTTCTCTATTTGCTTATTGTGGTTTTTCTCATATACTTTAAGAGATCTATTATCTCCTATCCTACTGAAGGCAGTGAAGTAGAGAGAAAAGCAATGTCTTCCCAGAAATTCTTACCTTTACTTCTTTTGGTTCATCCCAAGGAAGAAGAGACGACTCAGCACACATTGGCAGTGTCATTCCAACCCCTGTGGGAGGAAGAAATGGGGTGGAAAGCAAGAAGTATCAACACATCTTGAGAACATGGTTAGCATCCTAAGAACATTTACTAGAAAGTGAACCTATTGACAGTGACAGATTTTACTTTCCTGGGCTCCAGGATCACTGCAGATGGTGGCAGCAGCCACAAAATTTAAAAACACCTAAAGCTTCTAGGGAGGAGCTTCTAGCGATGACAAACCTAGACAGCGTCTTAAAAAGCAGAGACTTCACCTTGCGAAAAAAAGTCTGAATAGTCAAAGCTATGGTTTTTCCAGTAGCGATGTATGGAACTGAGAGTTGGACCATAAAGAAGGCTGACTGCCGAAGAATTGATGCTTTTGAATTGTGGTGCTGGAGGAGACTCTTGAGAATCCCCTGGACTGCAAGGAGAACAAACCTGTCCATTCTGAAGGAAATCAACCCTGAGTGTTCACTGGAAGGACAGATCCTGAAGCTGAGGCTCCAATACTTTGGCCATCTCATGAGAAGATACTGTAAATCTTCCTGGAAAAGACCCTGATGTGAAGAGTGAAGGCGAGAAGGGAATGACAGAGGATGAGATGGTTGGACCGTGTCATCTAAACCAGTGGTTCTTAAACCTTTGTTACTCAGATGTTTTTGAACTGCAACTCCCAGAAACCCCAGCCAGCACAGCTGGTGGTGAAGGTTTCTGGGAGTTGCAGTCCAAAACACCTGAGTAACCGAAAGTTAAGAACCAGTGATCTAAACCAGTGAAAGAAACGCCCCCTTGAGCCATTGAGGAAGTTATCACCGCCCCCCTCCCCGCGGTGATGATATCTTTCTTGTTTGTTTGTTTGTTTGTTTGTTTGTT